CCTGTGTGGCTGTGCTTCTGTCTGTTGCTCGGTCTGCGTGACCTTCTCTCATCCTCTAAGATTCCCTCTCCCTTCTTTTTCCCCTCCTTTGTCTATGCATTCTGGCTGGTCTCCCGCATTTTGCCTGAACAAAGAGCCAAGCCAAAAACACCCTCCTCTGCATCGCTCCCCGTGGTTCTCCTCTCATCCCTCATCCCCTTCCATCTCCCTCCATCCTCCTCCTCTTCCCAGTGGACTTCTTCTCCTTACTTTGTTGCACTGCTGTTTGCTGTCCTTGTGATTCAGACGCATTTATGCTGTTTTATTTTCACCGTTTCACAACAGCACCAGTATAATCAATATTGACATTTTTCTTTCCGAGGTCCTTGACACGCCACTGTGTCATTCTCCTTTCACTCCGCCCTGAAATATGCACAGCTTCAACAGCTTTGACGGCTTCCTTCATTTCATTCATCTCTACTTTTCTTGAGTCCTCTGTCTCTGCCTGCCTGTCTCTCTATCTCCCTCTCTCTCTGGGCAGTGCTGTCATGCATGGCTGACTAGAACATAGAGACAGGTCCAGTGCACCGCCAGCACTGTCCAAATCAAAATCCTGATAAGCGCGTCTGAGTGTGTGAATTGATCTGTTCATAAACGGTTTCTTTGTCCACCTGTTGGAGCATATGCAAACACAAACAGCGGGAGACGGTAAGAGTGTGTGATTGTGTGTGTGTGTGTGGTTTGCTTAAGTGTATTTGCACATGTGAGAACATAACTGCGTGGGCACTTGACAAAGAGCATGTGGTGTGTGTGTTTTTAAAGTGTGTGAGTCAGAAGTGTCTTCACGCCTCTGGGGATTGGGTATGTGTGGCTATTAGTGCTCAGTCTTCATTAAGCCATATCAAGCTGTGCATTTATGTGCATATGTGTGTGAGTATTTATTTATTTATTTTTTTGCTAGTGTGAGTTGTGTGAGAGAGAGACTGATATCCTCAGACTCACACCTTTTCCTTCCACTGCCCTCCTTCCCTTCACATCCCTCCCCCTCCATCCACTGGTACCTCCTGGGGTATTACCACCTCCACCTGGCTCCCTCCTCTTTTACCTGAATCAGAGCTATCAGAGCGGCCCTTTCTTCTGCCCTCTATCAAACATGCCCTTTCGGATACCTGAAGTCACGCACACAGAGCTGAGCATGGCAACACACACTCGTACAGACATATGTTCTCTGCTGGGTAGACAGACAGACATTGTTGCTTTGAGAATTCACAATTTGTGCGCAGCAAACATATTGCATCTGGTAATCCAACTGACAGCGAAATAAACACACACAGATGCAAAAGAGAAACATGAAATTCTTCACAGAGCACAACTACCATGAGGCATTTGCACATGAAAAATTGAACAAAAAGGCTGATTACATTTACACAACAAAAAATTTGACACAGTCCAAAAATAAATGCTTCACTGTCTCCCTGCACAGCTCAGTCCAGACATCTGCTCTGACACTCAGACGAGGTGAGATTTAATGCCGGACTGACCCCTGGTGGCCAAACTGACAACAACAGAATTTTAGAGCTTTTGTCGTATTACAAATATCTCTATGCAGCTCCCGTGGAAAAAGTACAGGAATAAAGTGTCAGAGGATTATCTCAAAGCAGAAATTCACACACACACACACACACACACGTTCCGATAAGAATGGCGGTCAGAGGTTGGTAAAATGAGCCGAAGTGGTTTCTATTTTTAACATGTCTGTGTCAATGCAGATTTTTATGAAACCAGGCTTGATGTTGATCTCCAAAGCAGAGAGGAGAAGTGATAAGGGGACAATGTACCCAGCTGGATGAAATACTCAAGATGGAAATGACTGTGTAATGGCAATGATGAAGCGCCTCCATCTGCAGGCCCCAGGGTCATTTCTGTACTTGTTCTTGGTTTTTTGAGACATCTTCATTATGTCGGACTACTGGCTTGTGACCACAATCTTTCTGACGCTCCATTTGAACTCCATTAGACTCTGTTTCTACCTTTCTATCTGCCTTCCTGTCAGCTAACTCTCTGCTCTTTCTGTCGGCTCATCGCTCTGCCTGGATCTTCGGCTTCATGTGGGCAGTCAAGCAGAACTCCCAGCCATGGAGACCCCTGTGCTGAGGCTCACCAGATAAGCTACCATATATGCACAGCACAGAGCTGGAGGGTAAGTCATAGGAAAGTAAAGTCCTCGGAGTAGTAGCCTTATAACACACCTTTTGGTGCTTCTATTTAAGGTAAACGTTCGGCAGGTCATAAACTTGGAAATTAGTTTTAGGGTGCACATAGTGGAACACACAGAGGATAGAAAAATGTCAAGGTGGTGACATTCAAACACCTGTTGCATTTAAACCAACGGAAAGTATTTGCTATCATTGCATTTGGTATTTGTAGACTGTGCAGATCGAAGTGTTACTGTATATATTATCAGAATTGGCTGGCAGCAATTTCTTAACTTCCTGACCTGGTGACGATAAGAACATTTGCATAAATGGACAGAGTTAGACACATACATACAGTAAAATGTTCCTGTATCAAATGAACACACAGGCCCAGGTTCAGGCAGGTGGACAGGCAGGTGTACAACCAGATTAGAAGGCAGGCAGACAGATGGATAATCAAGCAGTCTGGCAAGGTAAAGTCTGCCAGGAAAACAGAATCGCATTCACTGTGCAGCTTGCCAAAACAACTAGAGCGCTGGCGATGTTCTGAGGTCATTTTAACTTTATCGTGTTTAATCCTTCATCTTTGGCTGTACTATAAAAATGACACTTGGGTGCAGTGCAGGAAGTGTCTGGTACCAGACTTTGGATCTTCTTGCTACTGTGCGGTTTATAAGGAGTGCTCTAAACCAGCAACAGCAAACAAGCTCACAGCACAGGTTTAGGCTTATGAGGAGACAGATGTGGACATCTGGCAGCAGTTTGTCATGGTCAGAAAGCCTGATATAACAAAATGAACTGAGGGCACAAATTCAAGTCACACACTCTTTTTGAACTGAAACAAAACACCTGGAGGGTTAATTATACACAAGAAAATCATGCTCCGCTAAATGACTGGATTCGGACAGGTTAGCAAAGAATCCTCTTGTAGTTGGGAGCCCAATCGTACCAAGCTATAAATTGCAAGAGCAGACATTTCCAATCTGGTTAGCAAAAAAAGAAGAAGAGTATGTGACAGTGTAACTACAAACTAACTCGTACAGCATGTTTTGCTCTATTGGTTTGAGCAGAGATATTGTAATGTCATCTGTTTAAGTCCGTGGATGTCTTCCTCTGAGAAAATGAGTAATGATATGTGACAGAGAGACACCTCAGAGTGTTTTCTTTCTCAGATGAATGATGATAGACAGAAAAATTCTGTCAGCAGCCTAAGATAGATAACTTTCTTACAAATATCCGACAATGACAGTGAAACATCTACTGCCACCCTGATTGCAGCTGATATGAAAGGATGGGCAGGCAGAGACACGGATAAGCCAAAATGAAGGAAGGAGGCAGAAGCTCTGCTGTTGAGATTGATGTGTCAGAGGAGTTGATTGCTTTCTAAGCAGGTTCGTACAGTATATAACAAAAGTTCCTGTCTGGATAAATGCCAAAGTAAAAGTGACAGGACTTGAATCACTTGTTGCTGATGTGGTTAATGTTTAAAAACAAGAAAAAGACATACTTAAAGCTCTGTATGACTGGTTTTGTGCACTGCAGCGTTTAAGAGCAAACTGACTTTGGTTTAAAAGTGTACTTAATCATTTGAAATAAATGACCCTGATAATTACATTGAATGCAACACTTCAGCAGGTAACACGCATTTAAAGCTACAAGTGTTGTTAATGCATTTTTGGTAACGTGATTGTCAGTTATCAAAGACAACAATAAGCTGCTGCTCTTATTTTGTTTCTCAGACTTCTGAAACCAGACTGATAGAAAGGAGGCTGCCACTGTGTGAGAGCAAATGTTCATATCACTGTCTACATTCTTGTTGTGTTAAATTCTGCTCAATAAAACTGTCAGTGTTGTCTGGCCTGGCACTTCATACAATGAAGAATAAAATCTTGTGCCATAGACTACAACTACTCTGAGTAGTCTGGCCTGGCATCGTAAACTTTAAAATATCGTCAAAGCGTAACAAAAGCTCCCTTTGCTACCTCGACACTTTCAAATCCTTATTGTTTTAAAATGGAGTGGATGAAAGAAAAAATGGTAAGGTGAGATGTTTTATCTCTTTATTACTCCTCTGTCATGGTAATTTATTTATTTTAAATTAGACACTGAAGGTCTGGAGAAATATATGAATACTAATGCATTTCCCAGAGCTCACACCAAATTTTTCATTAACGTCTCTCACTGTCATCTCACTTTCACTTGTGTTTTAATTTAGGTCAAAAATAGTTGCGCTTATTACATAAGGACATAAAGCAGGGGAGCGACTAGTTTCCTCACCACTGTTGTCACTGTTAAAGCTGTGAGATAAAACCACAGCTCAACAGCGGTTGTTATAGATTTTAGTGAGAGAACTATTCCATTCACCATTCTCCTTATTAAATTTAACCAAATAGCCTGATTGCTAGCATTAGGCCTAAGGGGAGATTAAAGTTCGATCTCTTTCACTGATAAAGTGCAGTGGATTTAATGAACCCAGAAAACAATCTCATTCAGGAGAACATGTGACAATTTATATCATCCTGGCGATTGTTGCACTGCCTTACCTAACGGTAACACAGTGAAGTCCAAATCAAATACTTTCTGACATAATGACATAAATCCTTTTTCATTTCTTTTTTTGCCTTTTACAGTCATTTTCATATAAAATTACCATATATTATGATGCCATATATGTTTGTGAAAGTGATTCTGTATGAATGTAAATCTGAATCAGAAACATTCTTTAATGCTCATCCTCATAAAAATGTTCAGACTTAACCACCATCTTATCACACATTCTCCCTGAACAGATCAAACTATTCTCACAGCCAGGCAGGTGTAACTTACGTGGTGAAGGCAGGATTGTACTTGGCTCCTAGGTAGTACGAGTACAGGTTGAACATGCCAATCATGAAGGCCACAAACACCATGATGAAGATGACCATGAACTTGAAGATGTCTTTGACGGTGCGCCCCAACGAGATCTGCAGTGGGCCGAAGCTTTCATTGGCTGGCAGGATGTAGGCGATGCGCGAGAAACTCAGAACCACAGCGATGGCATACAGGCCTTCGGAGATGATCTGGGGGTCAGATGGGCGCCACTTGTTCCTGGCTGGAGGAGGATGAGAAAGTTCTTTAAGCATTATTTGAATAGGCTTGAGAAGAGTTGTAGTGTTAGCTTTTGACTGAGAGGATTTTTTTTTGTTCACAATACAGTCAATAAAAATGACCTCTGTTCATGTCTCACCCAGATAACATTACTATGCTGAATAAAACCTGATCAGTCATGATGGCCATGATCCACAGCTGCATTGGATGGATTCAAGTCCTTAACCCTGTGATCACTGCAACATAAAGTTCTGCACCTCCATGGAAACAGCACAGCCATGACGAGAAGTAGAGGGAATTCAAAAGTGTCTTTTGTGTAATACAGTGAAAGTTATCATGCAAAAAAACCAAAAAAACAAACAAACCTTAGTTTCTCTGATTATTTATTTTACAAAAATTGGAAAAAAAAAAAAAATTGAATCAACATGTACAATATTTTCCCAAGAGCCCATAGCTGTCATCAATACTGGAATTCATTCAGTATTATTGCCTAATCTACTTACTAGAAATGTTTTACTACTGAGCATCTGAGTCATGAATGGCTTCATGGTTCCACCAATCAGTGCAGAATTTTTTGTTTTGTACAGATGATTAGTATAAATGGTATATTTTAGAGAATTTGAAAAAAGGATGTGTAGAATAGAGTGATTCAATGAAATATCACAATTTTAAGCTTAGATGTGATTACATTTCTCTATAAACTGAGAAGTTCAAGATCCATCCAAAAGTTGACAACACTACTACTCTCTCTGTTTTTACAGTTTCTGGTGTAATTTTGCTGTTTCTTTAAAAAATAGACATGCTTTTAATTCTGTTGTTGGGTTTGGAGGCTCAGAGGACTCTAAATATCTTTCTGATATTAGAGTCAAATGGCTGGTTCAAAGCTGGTTTGATAATATTTTTAATAACACTTTATTTTAACCCCTACAAATATTAATGTTATAAACCATTTATTACATGTTATACGCATAGTGCTTACAAATGCACAACAGTGGGGGAAAAGTTAAGCGTTACCTTGTTTTCTACTGTGCACATTTAGTTTGAAGCTCACAAGCTCAGTACTTGCACTTCAATGTACAGAGTAAACGTCTGGCTACAGTACGACCTAAACGCTTGCAAGAGATGTTCCTAACGAGCATAATCTTAGGTTTTAGGAACATGAGCTTTGCTGGAGGAGACGGTACAGTAAGAAGATGGATTAAGCGGGGATGGAAAAGGGAAAGTCAGAGTTGGAGAGAAGAGAGAGCGGGACTAGGGAAGGAAATGAGGGTGAGCTCGGTGGACTCCAAAGAGGAGGGATAAAGGGATAGTGTGTTCAAGGAGACGTAAGGTCAGCGAGAGGCGAGAGGGGGGGAAAAAAAGCCAAAGAAGCACATGCAGAAGGAAAGGACAATTGAACTAGATGTTAAGACAAGATATGAACGAGACGAGTTAAGTAAAAGCAATAAGACTCCAATTCACAGGGAATGCACACACTGTGTAAAATCAACACACTTTTCCACACAGAAATGATGGCGACATATGTTTATGGCTGCAGGAATATGCACCTCCATGTATTTACTGATGTGTCATGGCAGAGTCAGACCACCAGATGACAGCACTGATGAAGGTTCCATTAGGAGGCCACTGAGGAGTGTACAGTCCAGTAGCCGACACCCTGTTCCAGGCTGTGGTGTGAGGTAGAGATCTTTTCGTTCTGACAGTTTACTTGATGCATTAAATATGTTGCTGCATCTTTGTTCACCCATGCCTCCTTGTCTGTATGGATGTATTATTCAGACATATATATGCACTGTATCTCTGCTGGGTAATTCAAGCACACTTGTAATCCCTCCATGTTCAGTGTGTGTTATAGCATTGCAGTGATTGCCATTGTGTGCCGCCAACAAACTGACAATCAAGCAGAAGATTGTGCACACAAATAGATTGCCAACATCTTTGAGTAAGTGTGCAACAATGACATTTATATCCAAATAGCGAATACATCCTCGTCTCCAGGTTTCAGGTTGAGAGCAAGCTCAGGAGTTTAGTTATTCATGACATTTTAACACAAAGACTCATCTGATGTGCTCCTCCTTATCAGTGAGAGATGTAGCACAACAATGACTGACGCATCCCATAAAAGCTTTAACATTTTATCCTTTGATGGCCTTTTCTGGGGAAAATTGTTGGATAGATAGGAAGCGAGGCGGTGCTACACAAACAAGTAATTTTCTCATTAAGCATGAGAAGAATTGGACAATTATCATGAATAGCGATAGCCACAAAGGCTGAGCAAAGAAAGTAAAGGGCAACGTGGAAAGGAATTTAGAGTCTGGCCAAGAAATAAGAAACAAAGTCAATAAAACATGGGGCTCATAGATAACTTCTACACGTAATAGCGCCAAAATGATTGCTATTAGTTCTATCTGGAATAACAGCATACCATAAGTGAAGTAGGCCACTTCGTCAGGCAGCGAGGCGTTGCTGAGGTCTTCATCTGGCACGTGCATGTCCACATACTGCTGGGCTTTGGATGCTTTAAGGAAAGCCATGAAGCGTGCCGTAAAGGATGCCACAAAGATGGACAACATGCCAAAGTCCAGCACGTTCCAAAGGTGCATAATGTACTCTCTGGGCCCGTCACTCCAGATCTCCTTGCATTCGGACCAAATCATACCTGAGGAAGGAGAACACACACACAACATCTAAACACATCACAGAAAGGCAAGAAATACACAACAGAAATAGCAATGCACAAAGATGAGGAAGCTCTCTCAGGTATTATGTGCACATATAGATTTATGCACAACCACAGATGTTTACAGCAGGGCTTATAATTTCAAGTGAACCACTCAGACATGTGCCACTTAGAGCTCAGGTGCATATAAACAACACACACACACACACACAGTCGATGGAAACCCTAATTTGTCCTACTCAACCACTCTGTCATTCTCTATTTGGAGCCAAAACAAGGTGAAAATTGCTCTGTGAAAACGTGTTCTGATCAGTATCATCTCTATAACAATTACTGGGCCTTCAAAGCATGCTACTAGAATTACAATTACACCCACGTACACACACACAAATTGTCACACGAGCACCTGCTGCCAAAAATGACAGTGGTTGGGAAAAGAATGATGCCATTAAAGGTAAACAAATAAAAACAGAACCATATGTACACCAACATACAGAAAGCGCACAGATAATATTGTTATATCTGTGTGCATGAGAGGAAGAACATCAGCAGATGGGAAGCAGCTGAGGTCTGACAGATATTGCCATGGGCTATTTATCCATTGAGTTTGCCTTTGTCTGTCTGTCAGCCCCCTCTATCTCGCCTCCTCTTCATGCTTGTCTTCCTCTATGCCATACACTCCACACCTTCTTGTGCTTTTTATCCGTCATCCTCAACCACTCCCATGTTTCCTCCTTCTCCCTATCTCTCCTTGTAAAAATTCCTCAGCACCATCCCTCAGGTTAAGTTTCCCTCCAGCTTTACGTTAGGGCTCAGCATGGCTACTGCTTCAAGAGGTCCAACTTTCACTGCATCCCCACCAGGAGACCTCTATTTGATCTTGGGAAGATAAAAGAGCATAATTTTTTGTATTGCCATAACCTTGGCTTTCATCCACTTGGTTGGTGCTGTATTAAACTTTAATTGTGCTTCTTATCAAAGATGGGAAAGAAAAAAAAAAAATCTTAGTCTTTCCAGGATGTTTACAGATTTATAGGAGAGGCTTTGTTTCGTAGAAAAACTTCGAAGGACACTTTGGAAAACTTTTAAAACCTTGATAGAAGTGTCTTCATGACCTGCTCACATCGAGATAAAGTGTATCCCCGCTGATTAAAAATACAATTACCATAGAGCATCCATCAGGACAAACTTGGCTTTGACTTGCTTGCGTGGCACATCAAGGTTATTTCTTATCATAATGTAGAATCTGCCTTGACATATTCCAGCCTAATCTATCTATGTGCTTTTGTAACTGTGCAGAGCTTGTGTGTGTGATTTGTGCAACAAGGTGACTCACCCAGCACCCACTTCATGATCAACATCTCCGTCCAAGAGAACTGGGTGGTTTTGACCCTGAAAACCTGTCGTGGATGGTCTGTGATGGTCTCATTGGGCAGGTTCTTGACGCCCTCGAAGCGGTCGGAGGCATTGACGACCAGCAGACCCAGGAAGATGGTGAAGGAGACGGCGTGAGCTACAAACTTCATGAAGGGGCTTCGCAGGATCTGACCAAGCTGGAAGTGAAAAGAACAATGAAATATGCTCTATGCATCTGTAGTTAGAAATATTAATGGCCATATGAATTGGAATAAACATTTATTACTTATATTAGTTCAAACCTGGATTGAAAGATTCTTTTTTTTTATGAAAAGCTGGACACAGAGCAGCATCACAACTCCTATTTGCTAACACAGCAGCTGATGTGAGGGAGTCCCGCTGAAGAAACATGTGTGATTACCTTTTGAACACTCAAAATTTCATCCAAGCAAAACATCTGTTCATATTTGCTGAGATAACTCGTGCTGTCTTAGATTGTGTTCCTCGGAGATCAAAAGCTGAAAAGCATCACTACACAACCATCTTAGCAGGCAAGCAGCATCTGTTGTAATTCACGGATGTGCTTAACCGCCGATCGCTTACACAGCGACACAATGCCAGAGTAACTAGATGCCAAACAATCAGCCGAGTTTGTGGAAATGCACCATATGGGTAGAGTGTTCTACAAGATGGTATCGCACAAAGAGCATTAAACATGCCGCCGCACAGAGGAGCATTTTTTTATGACTGCACAAAAGTACGTCAAGCCACACGAATACACACACACACATTCACACGGAAGCACATACACACTTCCGGCCTCATACAGACATTTGGGTTCCCAACATTTGCCACTCTCTGAACCCGCTGTGTTCAATATTAACTACCCACAGGACATCTCTACTCTCTGCATGCACAATAACAAGTCAGATCCAGTCGCGTGTCCTGTGCCACACACACACTACTAAACCACGGGGGGAAGAGGTTGGCTGGTAATTCTTAACCCCGCAAAACCTCCTCCAAAACTCCTCCTTGATTTCTCCCAGCTGCTGTGCTGATAAGGCTGATCCATTTCACCCCTCAGCTTAAATGAGATGGTCATCCCAGATCAGGCCTTCTGCTGCTTGATGACTCCAAGCCCCGCGGGTTTCTTATTATCAGTGTGACGGTGACAAGAGCTGATCTTCTCGTCTCCAACAAAATGGTGGCTGCTGGCAGTGGGCACATGCAGATTAAATGAAAGAAGTCTTGTGTGAAATGAAAATCTCGCAAGGCCAAAATGAAGACGCTGTGGGAGAATTGAACCCAATGTAGACTGTGTGATGACAGGCAGCCACTCCAAATAATCTATTATCTAGTCATGAGAAAATACCTTAGTGTCTATTCTATTTATAATCTACATACACCTTTTGTTTGAATGACAATAAGAGAATATATGAATGGACATATTCTCAAGTCTCAGGTCTCCCTTTCTCTCTGTGACTCACCCTCAAGGTTTATTTCCACCAATGCAGAAATAATTGTGTTCTGGTTCACAAGCCTTCATTTGAACATTTCTGCATGTTTCACACACACACAAAAAGGTTTGGAATCCAAGAAATGATTTCCATTGGAAACCACAAAGGAATAGTGCTTGAAGCTCAAACCATGATGACATCATCAGTGGGTGTGCCTTATGAGAAAGGGAAATGCAATGTGAAAGATCTATGAATAAAACCATTTACATACATGGTAAAAAAAAATAAAAATAAAATAATTTAAAAAAGCTGTCACATATTTTATTTATTTATTTATTTTTTTTAAATTGTGAAAATAACAGCAGATGTCTGTGGAACACTGATGTTTAAATTTTGAATACATCACACGAAAAACACTGAATTACCAACAGTAAAAAGACAGACTTTTTATGTGGACATTTTTTAAAGTCAACATGTAAATGAATACTTTCTGAGAGATTATCTGTAATTTAACAAAAAGGGTAAAATGTGTAAAATTACAATTGATCATTTTTCAATCATTATAGATACTATTTCTTTGAAACAATGGCAAATAATGAAAAACAAATGCCTTTGCTGATTTAAATGTAGTAAAAAAATCAACTTGCTAAACACAGTGAAACAACAAACTACCATTTGTAAAAAACAAAAAAAACAACAAAACAAAACATATTTTTGATGTGGACTTTATTTAGAGTTTTGGCCTGTTGGTGGTAACCATCTAAATCAATATTTGTTTCTGTTTTTTTTGTTGTTGTTGTTTGTTTTGTTTGTTTTTACTTTGTTTTTCACAGTGTACCATTTCACTTGTATGTACTTGTACAACACGGCTGGCACATGGAACTCTGTTGGAATGAAATTAATATTTGCAATAAGAATGTGAATGCTTGCAGGTGTGAGGTATGAGGTCCATCGTCTTGCTTGTTTTCCCTGATTTACATTCACTGTATAAGCAAACAAAAGAAATGGAACTGGTTCCAGACTGAGAAGTGTACTGGTGGAACATTTTTAGATCTTTTCTGACAATAGTTAAGGTATTGCAGGACTGTTCAAGGGTATCCAGTCATTCCATCAGTGATAAATGGATCATGACCTCATCCTGTGAGTACTGATTGAGGTTTATTTTTTTCTTGTTGGGACTTTGATTTGATTCTCCAGAAAGACAAGAGATGGCAGGACAAAAAAAAAAAAGAAAAAGAAAAGACGGAGATACTGGGAGGAACTACATGAGATCGTCATATCAAAATACCACAAACACTGTGGTCAGAACTTGTATGCAAATAGATATTAGAGCAAATTAACCAGATGACAGAGTGTAGAAAAGTAATTGAAGAAAAAATAATTAGCGAATATGGGAGCAACATGTAGCATTTGCTAATGTCAGAGTATCATTGCTAAATTAATTGTGATAGCTGGTATAATTATCATAAATAAAGAGCTGCTCTTGCCTGTCATACTGAACTGTGCCTGAAAATAAGGACTATATTTACTATAATTCAGGATTATTTATGTTTATTTAGTCACTTTCCCGCCTTCATACCTTCAATATCTCACTGTAAATCTTTACTGATGAATAAACAAGTCAGAGTTAATCCTTGACCACAACATCAAAGTTGTTTTGGGAGTTTTCCAAGGAAAGTTTTTTTTCTTTTCTTATTTCCCTTATCATGCATTTCATTTATTTCCTGTCACTCAGGAAATGCTGAAAAGAAATCACGCACCAATGCAGTTCACATCACTCTGGTTTTCCCCTCTGATATCTCCACATTTTCTACCAAGAAAAACACATTCTATAAATGAACGCACATCCGTTTTTCATCACTTCCAAAAGAGCATCACATATTTTCCTCTTAAAAGAAATTTCCAAAGCAATTATAGCCATGTTTCTTCTCTGTCTGCCTTCGATGAATTACTACTTACATTTGAGGAACGGAAATATCTTCGCCATCTCTCCTGGCTGATATGAAATGTAATATGGTTTGGGGGGTTTTCATAATGGTGTTTTATGGTGCTATAAAAACAGGGAACATTATGAGCTGTATGAGATGAGCAGTTGATGAGATGAGCAGAACAAAACTGTGTGATTAGTTCCAGGTGCACAAGGACACGCGACACACAATCAACCAAAACACATCAAAGCATTCTCTGTGCAACCACTGTCTCTGTCCGTCTTGAATTATTTTTCTGATGTGCTCTGTCGTTATCTATTTCATTATCAGCTACATGAATATACTTTTGTCTCCGTCGAGCGGCTGTCACATTGTCATTTGCATAAACACCCATTATGTCTCTCAGTTATTTGTTTCACTAAACTGCTTTTATTATCCTACCTGCACTAGTTGAACACCTCATATCGAACTGGTCTATTAAACGCAACAAAAAGCAAGAAAAATGACACATTGACACCAATAATATTACACAACCACAAGCTCTGCATTTTATATAATTACTTATTTCTACATGATGCTACTTTTTCCTGCTCTCTCAGCTACGCCACGAAACTGCCGACTGTCACGTGTTGGCCCATCGGTCGGTTGATTTGATACAATCAAATGCAATCATCGTTCGCGCACGCTCACGCATTAACATGCACAGGTGTTTTTGTGACACAGTGAGATCAGACGCAGCAAGTGCCTCATGATTGAATCTGTGTCTCACCGGTGGAGATGCTCTCTCAGCGTTACTGCTCTCCATCCTCTCACACGCACACTTGACATCAGTTGCTCTCTCTCTTAGTTTACAAAATGACTAATTCATTAGTCAAACCAAACATGAACCACTCAAACTCAACCACTCAACACTGTTTCTGTATCATTGAATCTTAGTGCACACACGCACACACACACACACACACACACACACACATGCGCGCGCACTACTAGGTGATGAGGTGGAAGATTATCCAGGTTGATGAGCAGATTTGCATAACCGCTTGCTCAGTTCCTGCGAGCCAGTGTGGCTCCTGTCATATTGTGTCACTTTACAAATTATAATTTGCTTGATGGAGTATTAAGAAAATGTGATAAAGTGCCTCAGGCCCTATAATCAAATGGTGATTATACAGTGCAATTTAAATCGTAAATCTGTAATGTTTTTAGTCACACTAGTCAATTTTTTCCTTCCCTGTCTATCCAACACTTTGGATCACGGTTAAATATCTCGACAACGATGGATTGCCGTGAGGCTTGGTCACATCACCTCCACACAAATACTCCTGATGATTTTAACAAGTTTAAAACATTTGTGTGATGCACAGAGGCATATATTCATTTTGACAATGACTGCAGTTTTGACACTTTTTTCACCATTAAAATTTTAACTATTACAACTGAGGTGAATTCAAAATGACAGGAGCTTTCCCATAAAAGAGGAAGCTACAACATGCAATCCAACTTTTACAGTGACTCAAAGATACAGTAGATTTTGGATATGGCTTCGTTTTCATATGCAGTCGTTGTCCATATTGATCGGGCTGTAACAGGACTCCCTGTGACAGAGTGGCGACCTGTCCAGGTTGTCCCTGCCTTCGCCCTGAGTTGGCTGGGATAGACTCCAGCCCCCCGTGACTCTAGTGCGGATTAAGTGGTGTATAGATAATGGATGGATGGATGGAAGAGGACTGTTAACAGACATTGAAGGTTGACGCTCAAATGAAGTAGATAATTATGATATACAGCTTGTAAGGTGAACCTTTGTGTCCCTTGTATGGGAGATGAACTGCGTTTTAGTCAATAACATGACCTTTCTTCCTGTCACCTCAAGGCAAGCTTCCCATTTTCTCCAACTTGCAGAAAGACTGTACACCTAACAGCGACAACATTAAAACCACCTGCCAATATCATGTAGTTCCACCTCGTGATACCAGAACAGCTCTGAACCGTCATAGGTCTGTTGGGCCGCCCTGTGATGTCTGGCACTGAGACGCTGGCAGGAAATTGTTTGGGTCCTCTGGGTTGCAGGGTTGAGCCTCTATGGATCGGGTTTGTTCAACCCTGTATCTTGTGGATGACTGATTGGATGGGAATCGAGGGAATTTGTAGGCTGGGTAAATGCCTTTGGTTCCGTTTTATGCTCCTCAAGTTATTCCTGATTTTTTTTTTTTGTGATGTGGCAATGTGCAATGTCATGGGGCCAGGCTGGTGCCATTGGAGAGTGGGCAACAATGTTGAAGTTGGCGGTACATGTCAAAGTAGCATCCACATAGACGTCTGGACCCAATTGTGTTTTCTGGTGTGAAATGAATCTGTAAACTGCACCATGCTGAAAACAAGCTATTGACTTTTAGTACTGGTGCCACAAGACTGTTATGAACAATAGGTGCTTCAATAATAACACAACCACTTCTACATTTCTGTCAGAAGTTATAGTGCATATAGAAACAAGTCGGTGCATGTAGTTGTGTTTTCATACCTTGCTACATGGCATTATCCAGTAGGCGATAGCCAGGAAGGGCAGACCTACGGTTACCCCAAGAACCGTCCAGCACTTCACACCGACGGACTGCTGCCTCAGGCCGGGCAGGTTCTCATACCAGATAGTTAGCAGCTGCTGCTGGCAGTTAGGATGAGCAACAAACTGAGAAGAAAGACAGGGACAAAAAGTGTAAATCAGTGGAGGGGCTGTAGGCACAGGGCAGAAAGGGGAGAGAGATAGAATTAGCAAACACCAATAATGAGGACATTTTCAGAGAACTGTACTCATTAGCGACTGTTTTACAGGACAAACAAACATTAAAATACTGTTTATATGCTCATGCTTTTAAATATTACCATTCTGAAATGGTTTGTGCATAGCTGTACTAGAGTACTGTTGTTTTTTTTTTTAATACTAATAGTGCATTTTGTCACAAATAAAGTTTTCTTTCTCTGCTCTTGTTAAAAAGTATTTTTATTTCCAACCAAGAGACGGCATACAGTGACCTACCAATGTTATCACAATAGAAAGTCTCGTTCAATTAAAGCCAAGAACAAACCTCAAAAGCTTTTCTTAAGTCACAGGCAAGACATTAGGCTCAGCATCCATAAAAAGGTGTGCATGGGGGCAGCGAGGAGAGAAAAGCTGGAGCTTCACCTTTAGTTACATTAAAGTGTTCCAGCGGCTATGACACATTTTCAGCTGTGACCACATCAACCACAGCTGGGTCGCCTGGGAGAGGCTGTCTGATGGTGAAAGGCCAGAAACACTCAACAAACCTCGGATACATCTTTCACGATGTGTTCAGGGTGTATTTACAAACTAGACACTTTCTCTATTGAAATGTGGGAGCTGTAGATTTTTTTTTTCTTCAATGAGAGTTGGTCACTCATAGGAAATGACTATACCCTCAGAAAAAAGCCCATGTGTTGAGCCAAAGCAGCTTTTATTTTGGTTCAAGGTACAAATTCCAGGGCCGATATTAAGCTGTTGAGAGCCAAAACAGATCCTGTGGTAAATAAAATGAGCGCCAGCACCAAATCAGTGTCAGAAGCATTGAGTAGGCAAGATATTTGGGACTGCACAAAGGACCCAGTCTGTAAAAATCTAAAAATGCATCAGGTTAAACAGACAGCTTATCAAATGTGGAAAAGCAGTCCTCTATAAAATGGCTTTTAAAGAATTTTATGTCTCTTCTGTGCCAGTTGTTACATCTTGCATAGATAAAATAAAAAGGCGATTTAAGTAGATGCGCAAGAAAGAGAGGAAAGTCGAAACGCTGATCTTTCATGAAATGCACCTACATTCTCAGAGTGAACCCACAGTCCAGTTCATAAGTTATCTACTGGAAAGCAGCAGGACAGGAAGCGACTTTAACTTCACATTTTTACTTCAATATTGCAAAGGATTTGAAATCTGAGTCGAGGATGTCCTGCGATGCCCCCTTGACCCAGCGGAGATGGAGGGAGACAGGATGATGGCTGAGTTATCATCCCTGTTGGAGAACACGTCCCACCCCCTGCAGGACACTGGGCAGCTCCTTCAGTGTAGCTGCTTCACCTGTGGTGTGACGGAGCGATATCGAAGGGCCTTCCTTCCTGCTGCTGCCAGTCTTTATAACCAGCACTGCTCACAGTACATAGTGTCACATTTCACTCTGGTGCAACAATGACGTATTCGAAAAAGTTTGTTATGAACATTTAGTACATTGAGAAGATGTACAATATCAATACAACAATATAAAAGATATGTACAATATCATTTTTTTCGACATATACAAAAATCTGGGCAACATTAGTATTTTCTACTAATGCCAGTGTTGTACATATAGAATAACCCTACTTCTCTCTATATATAATAACCTTAACTCTATGTATTTATGTATTTATCTATTTTATCTTATCCTCCTCGAATGGCATGAACAGCATTAGACCACTAACTGTTTCAGAGGCACAAGTAAAAATGTGGTGCTTTGATACATTTTTTGTTCTTTACCTCTGACAATTAGTGGTTCATTTCCCAGAGTTCCTGGTTTGAGTCATGGGCAGCCGGACCTTTTCTACACAGATAAATGCTAGAGTTGTTTTTGAAATACATTTTTTCACTTTTTCTGACAGTGCATAGACACACAGGAAATGAAGGGAGAGAAAGGATGCATTTCTTTTCACTGCACTTCTATTGCGTGTTCATTAAAATGTGAATATATGGAATTATTAACAACCCATTTGTATTTATAACTGCCACTTAGCTTCATTTAGAAAGGAAAAAGGCCAACAAGCAAGTTAGAAAATCAATTTAATCTACAGAGTGCAAAGGAAATCAGGCGGCAAATAAGAAGGACAGAGTGTTCACATTAATTACTGACTTTATTCCAAGAAAGGAAGTGACAAATGAAAGATAACAAAGGTCAGATGAGTAAGGACAGGATGGATGTTTTTCTTCCAGCTGGAGGAAGGATGTGGACAACAGAGCGATCGATGCTCGGTCGGTGGTCAACTAGTGTAACAAACAAACTCGGTGTTTGTGTTTTGTTTACATCTAAGATCTGCACAACTGGTTACCTTTGGTCAAACTTCATCTCTCTCAATTTTTGTTTGCCCCTTTGTCCTTGTCCTCCATCAGTCTTTTCCACAGCTTCACCAATCAGCCTCAGTGTTCACAGTCAGCCAGCGTTTATCTGAGCTGACGACAGACATCCTCTGCTTCCACCCATCGATCGAAACACACATGAACAACGTGTATGCAGTGTGCGTTGTCAATCATGAGAGGCAAACCACACACAACCATACATACCCCCCCAACACCACGCAAAATCGTTGTTAACACAGTTTTCCCACTGGTGTCCAGCACTCAGTCTATAAAGCCAATGATCCATGACATGAACCATGCCTGTGTCCAGAAACATCCACTGCACAGAGTCATGCTCCACCTGGTTTCCATGGCAATCTATCCCTCCCTCTCTCTATTCCTCTTGTGTAATTAGCTGCCTGCTATTGGTCATGCTCTCCAGGATAAAAACAAAAACATGGCTCAGGCAGGCTGTTTGCTGGACAGCACACACATACACAAACGCATGCACATACACTCCCAGGCTAACACAGCTGCACACATACAATTGGGAAGTACCCGATTAAAGAAAAACATGCAGCAGGTCAAACAGGAATGGGTGCGAGCGAGTGGTATGGTAGGGGGAAATGGGAGAAAGGTATTTGGTTTGACATTTAGTAAGGGCACCTCTGCTCAGCGGGGATTAACTCTTACACAGAGGCTGGGGAGTTGTTTACAAAGGGCCCTCTGAGGCCACATGCACGCAAACATGCTGCATGTTTATGTGCACAAATGGTTCACGGACACCTTACACAAAAGTGAAGTTACATGTTGAACACTGCAATGATTCACATGTTCAACGTTTCTATGGTAATCCCCCATAAGATATTTATTATAGAGCCCCTCCTGTGACTTTGTAAACATGTCCATTTGGTGTGTTTTATATGCTGGAAGATACAGCATGAACAGAACAAGCAGTCAATGCCACGGCTGAGATATTGCACTCAGAATTGGTTTCTGGTTTGAACATGTTTGACTGAATTACTCAACTATTACAACTTGTAGTTACAGTGCGAGCAGAGCCACGGGTGAGCTGGTGTGCTTGAGCTGCAACATGTAGAGGGTGAGTGGGTGGAGACAGACGGAGACTGCAAAGATCCACACATTGCAAGGGAAGCAACACTGTCGAGCTATGTCTAGGATATTTAAGGAGTGATGGGATTACTTTTGTACAGACAAAAACCTTCTAAATATGTAATTTTAGTCACTTAGATGAGCTTTTAGTGGTTTAATCAACAACTGGAAAACAACATTAAATGATTTACTTTAACATTCTGTAAGAAAATATTTAAAACAATCATTTCCAATGCAAATCTGTTCATCTACATCTGTGGACAATAATTACAACTCTTTACAAAACAGGCTGAGATGAATAGGAATTTTGTAATGTGATGTAATCCCTTTTTGATGTCCTTATGAAGTTGTTATATATTTCATTGTTCATGGGGAGGCTAGCCACAGTAGATTCATTGCAGAAGTGATGGCTAAATTTAGGAATAACTGCAATCACGCTAAGTGGTCACATGACAATAATATCAGCTCATCAAGTCAACCCTGATTTTCCAAATAGAGCAATGAGCACATTCATATAAAGGGGTTGGCGTCGGCACCAGATGACCACCTTTAAACATGGGCAGGTCCAGAGCCACATATTTCTCACAAGAAAAAACTATAATCCTAAACCAATATGAGGAATTTTAAAATATAATACTGGCTAAAAGCAACACAGATGTTGCAGCCAAAGCCAAGAAGGAAAGCTTGCAAAAAAACAAAAAAAAAACAAACAAACAAAAAAAACACCCAATTGTGTGTGAATTATTAGTCTTATCAATATCACTGCCCCATACCAAATGTACTACTTGATGTGACTGTAATTACAAGTGTGTGTTCCATCACATTAAAGTGTTGCTTAGATGTAGTCATGTGGTGTGTGAGACAGTTTTAGCTGTAATCTTTCAGCTGCACCCCTGGTGGTATTGAATGGTCCTGGGAGCAAGTAAAGAACAAATACAAACACATAACTCAAACTGTTAAGTAGCTTATTTGCAAATCTTGTAAATATGAGGTTTTAGTGTTTTAAGCAGTCCCTGTTTTAGGATTGTATCAGCTACACAAACCCCTGTAGAACAAAAGCATTAAAGAGCTTGTAGCTTTAAAAACTCCTGCCGTCTTAAGAGACACTCTTAGTATTGAAACACTGAAGTTTGTCTTGGAAGGGTGAGGCTATTTTAGAATTGACTGGTCAGTAGGCAGTGCTTTACACATGTCGAGCTGCTGTCTGGAGCATAATCTGCCCTGAAGAATGTTAGGTGTGCAGCATATGATGATCCAGGATTAAACTATTTGTTACTTTGCTAACATCAAACCAACCAGCTTTATCAAACAGGCCTCAGCTTTCGAAGTCAAATACTAGGTACAGAAATCAACCACCCCAGCATCCTCACCTTAATGATTTGCTGAGCTATAAATAAATGCATGTTCCTCTGCCACTGACCACTCACAGGTCACTTAAACTTGCTTAAACAAAGAGCCATTGTAGTTATTTTTTCTCAGTTCTTTGCACCATGTTCTAGTTTAAATTACTATTATTTCCAGTGTATTTTTTCACAATGGTCCTACATAGAGAAACCAAACTGAATCCCATGGAACAGACATTAAAAATCTTCTTTATGGGATTATCAACAACTATGGGGCTAGTCTGAATCACCATGTTGGTTGCAGCCTGTCAATAAGTACCAATAAGCATCATTTTAGGTTGGTTTCTCCTTTCCTTCCAATGACTGTGGGTCATCGTTTTCAAAATTCCCCTCGCTACGGGAAACAACAACCACAACCACTGAGCACCACAACCAACACACTGAAAGTTTTTGGAGAAGATTGGGATCGTAAACTGGCGATCAAAATATGTTTGTCGTTTTATCTGTAAACTTCTTATTGCACAGTCAACAAATGGCTTTTACTATTTTTTGTCGCATTTTCTTTCTTTTGTCACCACACATTTCCTTCCCATTCAGTATTTTGCAGAGACAGTCCCACCCAAGACAATTGTGATTAGTTTAAAGAAACACAAACAAACCAGAGCTTTTTTCCCCTTAATGCATAATGATAATAAGGTTCAGCCAGAACATTGTGTACTAAGCGACTACTTAGGAGCCATCGACCTGCTCATCCACGTGAAGGTTGATTTCACTCTCCTCCCCATTCTGGAAGTTGAGGTGCAGATTCTTGGAAAAGCTTGTCAAGTTTTAAATGTTGCATATGTTAGTTGAAAACGTGTGATAAAAAAAAAAAACATTCTCTATTCCCCATTTGTCCTACCTTCTTGACTTCGTACTTGATGGCCAGTTTGACGCGGCTGAGGCAGGGTCGGTTGTAGGGGCTCGGTGGACACTGATCCACGTCGCCGTTCAATATGGCCTCGACTTCCTCTGTGTTCCGACAAAGGTCCAACACACCCACCACAAAGTCCTTACACTGCATGGACAGCTTGCGGTAGTCATTCTGCACGAGAGTGAAGGAGGTGGACAGTTGAGGGGGAAAGAGATGAGGAAAAAAGCAGATTAAAGAATTTAAAACTTTCAATGATTTATGCCATCAACTGACACAGATAATGTGCCATTCTTTAAATGTAGAACCGATGACGTCACACATCAGAGGATTCATCAGACTATGACTCTGCCTTTAGCTGCCCCCTTGTCCCCCCTTGTCTTGTTGTCTTGCATCTTCTTGTCCAGTAGTTGTATCCATCTTCTTCCCCATCTGTCATACACATATTATCTACATTTCAGATGTTCTCACATCATGCATTTTGGTTCTCAATCAAACTATCAACCAACACTCTTTGTGTGTCCTGTCTTCCCGCTATGCCGTCTTACAGAAGTTGGCGATTGGCTGTCAACTCACCTGACATCTGTCTGCCTGCAAAATCACCTCCACCTCCTCTGTCACCTCCACAGTCATATGTATACAGTTTAATATCTCTTGACTGTTGCCCCTTAAGGTTTGAAATGGCGTTTCCTGCCTTTTACACGACAACTGACAACATCACAGGCACAGTTATTCCCATTTGCAATTCTAATATGGCTTGAGTGCACAGAAATGGAAAGGGTGAGGCTGTGATATGGTTCTTGACCTTTCCATTTTGAAACATTGCCCACTTGTCTTTGTCAAAAATAAAAAAATGTATCCCATAATACAGCACATAAATCAGCAGAAACAGGAGTCAAAGGTACAAGAGAATGCATTTAACCCCCAAACACTCTGTCCTGTGAGTACAAATGCTGAATTTTAAGATACCAGCACCACAGCGACAATAGCAGCAGCAGTGGCTCCTTATATTGGAACAGGACTGTGTGGTTTCTAACATATTTGGTCATATATGACAGAACATACTTGCTGAACCACTATGTGTTGCACACTGTTTTAACCATAACAGTACAATGAACAAAAAGCTTTAAGTGTTTTTAGGGGGGTGGCAAATGTTAGGGGGGGTTGAACCCAAAACAACTGACGGAAGGGATCCACACACTTGCATTTTATCAATCTGAATTTAGAAACAAATAAATAATAAAAACAGAGTTTGCTAAAAAGGGGATCCAGGATATCCTTGACTTTGTTGGGTTTCATGTACATTTTTTGTAGTGTCTAAATTACAGATGAAAGTCTCCATAATTAACAATGCTGTGGGACCATAATATCTATATTAGTTAGGTTATTAACTCTTAGCTATATCAGTACACCAGTTAGCTTATTCTTCATGATTAATAACAGTGTAGGGTATCAGCCTTAATTTGTGTTGTAGTCAGGTAAAGCAATATTTTATTTAACTTCTATAGGTTACTTTGACACAGTGGCTGTTGAATTGAATGTGCTTTATAAAATAAAATTAAAAAAAGAAACAAACTAAAAACTAGACTTCACTATTATATCTTGCATGCTTAGTATCTTTGTTTGTTTGAATTTGTGTTTATTGTTTAATTTACTGTAAAGCACTTTGTAGCTTTGTTTTTCAAAAGTTACTATACAAATAAAATCTAAATAATAATTATTTTTAATATTTTATGCATACTTTGATATTGCACATACAAAACTAAACGGTAACCCCTTAAAATTTAAATGAAAACCACAATATTCAAAGTTGTCTGCTTCACTAGAAAGACCAAAAAGTAAAAAGTAAATGAGGTGTCAAAAAAATACACCACACAGATTGGAAGAAGAGAGAAGACAGAAGGTCATTTCATTCTTTCACCCAACATTGAACATTATTGGCTTGTTAGGTGAGAGAAAGCAAAGGGATGTCATAGTTAAGAAGAGTAATAGAAGAGGTAATGGTCCAGTCTGTTACACTCTCTTAAGAATATTCACATAATGACAATTGATGGATACACATTCTCACTGAAAGAAAAAAAAAAAAAAGCCTAATGAGCAATAATAGTCACCTGATTGGAATTTAAACCACAGTAAGTAAAACAAATGGTACAAATCAAAGCAAATGCCAGCTGAAGAACAGGAGCAGGAGTGTTTACAGATTATTCTGAAGTGGTTAACCTCAGTACTAACCTTATAGTCACAGTACATGAAAAACCTAAATTCCCTGCTTTTGTACTTGCAGAGTTCGCTACCCGCTGACAGTAGACGTACACAGTGTAAAATCAGCTGAATTGGTCCCTTCAATAATCGCTTCAATAACCCCTTGCCCTTCCTTCTCATGGCCCCCACAGTTCACTTCTCATTTCCACCGACCTCCCCTCGGCCTCCTGCCTCATTCTGTTCGACAACAGTTGGTTGAGCACGGATGCAGGCAGCAGACTGGGGCTTCTGGCAGGTTTAGAGTCTCTAAGGAATGATGCTCATTATGCATTCACCACCATGTCGGGGCTGTATTCAAGCAAACCATTACAGTGTGTTGGAGCAAAAACTTTTACAGAGTCTTCCCAATAAAATAATTAGCATTCAGCTCAGAGGGAAATTATCAGCTCTGCTCTCACTTTAATCTTTCTGCAAGCAGGTATAAACTGGAACACGTACATATGCGTGTGGATTGTATTTTGTACATGTACTGATCACGAGCATCATTTACATTCCTCCAACGTCTGACCTTTTTAGTGAAGGATATTTCTTTCTGGCATGACTTGGACCGTGTCTGTCCTGAATATAAAATTTGTGGAGCCCGTGTGATCATCCCTAGATTCTACAATTTGTTCCATGATGCTTGGAAAAAAAATGAAACCGAGAGGCGTGTTAGATAAGTCTGCTCAGACAACTCATCACTATCTGTAATTTAAAAAGTAAATTCTGGGCATCAAGCGATAGCATCTGTTGGCCCTTTGGGGACAAGACAGAAAAAGAAGCATTTGGTGAATTTTTCCTTTAGGCTCCTAGGTGCGAGAGATAAATTACAGTGTCATATCTGTTCATACACACAGGCATAGACAAGACTTCAGTGTTCAGTGAAGTACATGTAAAACAACGTTTTTTAAAAAATCGATTGTTTTCACATCGTAAAACATACATCACGAACATACGTGAAATGCTACACACATATGTGAAAATCCAATCACAATTCAAGCTATGTGGTTTTTTGCCTCAGGAGCTGAGATTAAGGGATGGGAATGATGTTGTGAGATTGAAACTGGAGACAGAGTGGTGTGACACAGAGTGAGAACGGTTACAGATGAGTGAACTGAAGGGGGACATGAGCCAAACTGGGAAGGAGGGAGGGAGAGAGAGGGGAGAGGATGTAAGATGGAGGGATGAGAAGAAAAGAAAGATTGTATTACTGTGCTTCAGTGTACATTCACCACCATCATTTTAACTCTTTTTCATGTTATCTCTTGCTGTCTTTTGTCCTAGTTTCTCACAAAATCCCTATATTGAAGTTAAGCCAAAAATGGAGTGATAGAAGGCAAAAATGTAAGTAAAAGTGAAACCACACTCTGCTTCCTTATGGTACCTTCTCTAATGCTGTCTCAGGGTTTTTTGAAAGCTGTGTGTACATGTGTCCAGAGGCCTGAATGAGAAATTAATGGGCTGTCTTGAAAAGTAACATGTTTGAAGATAAATGTGTTAGTGACGTCCTATAGCAGCAAGCCAAAGGCACATCATCCAACATGCAGCACTCTTCTGTCTGCACTGACACGTTGTGTATTTGTGCCAGTAGGTATAAAAGTAGTGCTTGCTTGCACTTGACAGTTTGCACATGTATTGTCATCATATTTTCTGCATATATAAGCTGTGGTCTACACTCCATTCTGACTGTATGTACCCAGTTAATATACCAATCGTTAGCAGTTAGTATTAACACTTGAACAAAGCAAAAAGCAATGAGTTATAGAGGTATTGTAAATTCAAGAGCTGTGCAAGTAATATTTCTTAGTTTATAGTGGTGATAGCTACAACTTAAAATCATTGGGGGTTTACCCTCTGGAGTCTATCCCAGCTGACTTAGGGTGAAGGCAGGGGACACCCTGGACAGGTCACCAGTCTATCACAGGGCTACACTCAGAGACAGACAACCAAGCACACTCACATTCACACCTACGGACAATTTAGAATCACCAATTAATCTCAACATGTTTTTAGACTGTGTGGCAGGAAGCCGGAGAACCCGGAGAGAACCCACGCTGCACGGGGAGAACATGCAAACTCCACGCAGAAAGATCCCGAGTGTCCTCACCGGGACACGAACCGGCGACCGTCTTGCTGCGAGGCAACGGTGCTCACCACCGCACCAGCACATTATTGTGGGAAATTGGTTGCATTGAGGACAACGGTGGCCTGAAACAAATACTTCATGCTCAGGGAACTGACTAGCAATGTGAATGACAAAAACCACAACTTAGTTTCTGTTCTGTTATTATTCTCATGGATGGCCTTCTTGCCGCAGTCTTTGAGCCAGACTGTCACAGTGGCTGGTGGTCTATTGTGTATTTGTCTGCTGGGGAAAATATCCCACCACTGAAATATGAATATTAGAGTCTAAATAATGCTCAGTTCAGAACACCACACAGAAACAATGAGGAAACAGACGTGTTGTGAGTGAAGGAGAATGGCACTATGGGTACAGGATGTCACAGAGGCTCACTGACGAGCCAACACACTCAACTCCCAAATCTCAACAACATATTGCGCATCAAACAAGCCAATTGCTTCATTCAGCTCCTTTCAGGATGCCAGCTTTGAAACAGAGATGAAAGGAAACAAATTAAATCAGAATTAAATCACCAGGTAAACTCTACAAGACCACTTCACTTGTGGACTCAGGTCAGCCCTCATTATAAATTATATGAAAGGATTTTTTCAGGATTGTGAGCTTATTCGCTTTCTCCCAAAAGGGTTAAATGAGAGGATCATTACAGGTCTCATGTCTCTCTGTTAAATATGAAGCTATCGAGTGCTTGTGTGCTTTCTACACTTCTATATGGCACGGTTTAGCATCACTGTTGAATATTGCCTGTGTGAGATCTTTCTAGGCGCTTGGGTGTCATAAAGGTGGCATTAAATGAAAATAGCATTGCTCCATTTGTTCACTTTTTTTCTCAGCAACATGATATCTTAATCGATGCACTAACTTTTACTTGCTGTGTTTAATTGCCCCATATAAAATATGAATGATTAGGGTTATTGGCACACCGTCTTAACATTATTTGATATTTTAAAGTAATGAGAAGATGATGTGTAGAGGGACAGGGAGACAAATAAAGAGAGAAGGCTGAGTGGCGATAATGAGATGGTAATGAGACAGATGAGCTCCAACACAACTCAGGTCCCTCAGGTGAGCCCTTCTCATTAACTTGTCTGGAGACAGGGAGCAGAATGACAAGCAGAAAGGCTGAATATCAAACACAAATATGGGCAGAAAGCAGATGGAACTGATGAATAAGGACAGAGTGTTATGGGGAGAAAATAAAGGTACACATGGGTGGACAAACTCAGCTCAAATAATAAATATAAATAAACTCTGAGATGGAAATTGTAACATTTTCAGACTATTGCTGTCTGATTGGTCCAATTATCTGATCATGCTCTCCACAATAACGATCTCATGAGTCAGCCAATCAGCAAACAAATTACATGTTTCAAGTATGGTTAATAGAAAAACATAAAACTAAGCAATAGTTTGAATGTGGCTGCATTTGTTGGTTCTCATTGACGAATAAAAATAACTCCACATCACTATCTTCCAGGCAGCCAGAGGCACAAGCCATTTATCCACGCATTGCATGGTAGCCTTGAATGTTTAAGAGGTGGTGAGATAGCAGTTTGAAATAACAGGGTTGGCAGAGACCTCTGCTGTATTAGCATAAGGAAGCATATTTATAAAGAAAATATACCTATGGAATCGCCAGCGAAGGAAAAATATGTGTACTTTTCAGTCTGAATGGCACCAAGAGAATAATTATTTTCAAGCACGTATTGTACTGAGCAGGCTCATCTATTTCCCATGATGTCTGTGGACAAGGTCTGCACTAATGCAGGATACTGCAATGAGAACAACTTGCCCTGTGTGACTCATAAAACTGAAGGCCAAGATGAAGGCATTCAGCAATACCATCATCAACATCTTCAAGGATAACAGTCATATTGGTGAAATCAAATCAAAGTGTTATGAGGCAAGTTTACTGATTTGATAGCTGATGTCCAAATATCTGTCTGGAATTCATAAGGTTGTGGGGAAAAGTACATTTAGAACAAGTGAAACTGCGTAGGCCGTTGTGCACGAGACTGGAAGTCTATTGTTTATGAAATGAAAATTAAAGCAGTTAGTTTCATCTCAAGGGATGAGATGTACTGAGTTTGGAATGTATACAAATTGTGACTGTTGTGAAGCAGTTGTCTGGGTTTTGTGATGGTATTTTACAAACTTGAATTTAACTCTTTAGTTGGGTGTTTATAAGGGCCTGCAACTACCTACATGGCCACTGATCTCACTGTATTGCTGTATACACTACGTGTACTGGACAGTTACAGTACTAAAAGATAAACTGAAAGAATGTCACAGCAAAAACATTGAGGCAATAAACTATATAACTTGTTACCATTTGCTAAATAGGCTAAATCTACATGTTTTTTGGTTCGAAGTGAAAGAAAAGGATAATTCACAGTTAAGCAATTTTTTTTGTACTATTAACTAATTTTATTTAATTGAAAAGTCTGAACCCCAAAACCCACAGCAAGTTTAAAAAACATGTTGTCAGGGAAGTATGTCATTTATCAGAGCCAGAAACAATGTTTGTAGCACCTGTGGACACTTGTTAAAATCATTTTATTCTTTTTTTTTTTTTTTTTTTTTTAATAATTTTTGGCAATACAACTGTGGGATAATGCACAGAAGTAATTTTTGAGTTCTCTCTCCTTCACCTGATGGTTATACTGTAGATAGAAAGAGGTGCAGGATGTTATATTGCAGTGGAAAAATGAGGCAGTGGGTAAAAATGTGACAGGAACATAAAACACCCAGAAACTGCTTGGAGTTCAGAATGTAAACTTCTGTTTCCTATAAATTCTTGTAAAGTGTGATATGGGTTGTATGTGATTAAGAGTCTGCAGCTGTGTTTTGGTGGGCTAGTCTGAGTTAAAAGTACCATGAGCTGGTTTCTATGGCTACTCTGCCACTGGCACACTCAAATTAGGATCATATGATTTTACACAGTCATCAAAAAATTCTATTTACAAGCTTTTGCAAACATTTCCCAAAGTGTATTACACTGTAAAGCATTCTGATCACCAAAAATAGCTGAATTGTGATAATGGTTTTATGTAATTATCATAAGCGCACTTTTTTTTTTCAAGAGCAAGTTGCTGTAGAGGCTGCAAGGTGGAACAGTTGGTAGCACTGCACAGAAAGAAGGTTGCCGGTTCACGTCCCGGTGGGGGCACCGGAATCTTTCTGCGTGGAGTTTACATGTTCTCCCCGTGCAGCGTGGGTTCTCTCCGGGTTCTCCGGCTTCCTCCCACACAGTCCAAAAACATGCTGAGGTTAATTGGTGATTCTAAATTGTCCATAGGTGTGAATGTGAGTGTGCTTGGTTGTCTGTCTCTAAGTGTAGCCCTGTGATAGACTGGTGACCTGTCCAGGGTGTCCCCTGCCTTCGCCCTAAGTCGGGTGGGATAGGCTCCAGCGCCCCCACGATCCTCGTGAGGATTAAGCAGTGTATAGATAATGGATGGATGGAAGTTGCTGTAGGCCAACATCTGCCACACAGTGTATGAGATCAGGTCTGTTGTGCCACCAGCCCAAACCAATCAGCCTGCTTCAAGCGAGAAGGCAGCACACAGAGTTAAGCATTTAAATATTAAACACATCAAGAGTTTTCTCTAACACACACTGACATGTTTGAACACTGAACCATCACAACTAAACCGCAATCCTTCAACTAATCCTAACCTAAACCGATTTCTAAAATTAACCTACATGCCAAGTTTTATCCTCAAGATGTCACAGCACAGCAACAAGATGTGGCGAAGAGTCTAGAAACCTTCAGCACAGTACAAACAGCTCTTTCCAAAATGTCCTGACTTAGAAGTTTTAAACTCAATCCAGTCCTCAACCAGATAGCAATACAGGTACACTCACACAAACACAGTCATGTATTTTTGCACCACCAGCATGATCACTGAAGCCTGATGCAATTCATTGACTGTAGTCTATAAAATGCAATCTTTTCTGTCAGTTTAAGTGCACAAATATCGCTCAGATTTCCATCAAACAATAACGTGTTCCACTTTACGATTCTTACTTTGCCACAACCTGAGAAGAGATTGCATTGTTATCAGATAGAAATAAAAAGCTTCCAGTGTTCTGGGAAATCCATTCAAGATGAGAGTCATTGGAAGGAATAAGGTGAAACACTGGCAGAGACAGATCTGCACATTTTCCTCGGGCACTATTCACCCATTCCATCTGTACTCAGAGAAACATAAAGCTATAAAAAAAAAATATCCCAGCAGCAGGTGATAATGTCATTCATAGGGATGGAAAGAGACAGCACTTCTATATTGGAATTAGTTTCAAGTCGAATACCTGGATTCTTAAAGATCATTGGCCAATGAATCACTTATTGAATCTTTTATTTATATTCTCTTGCTGTTCTCTTTTAGTTCTTCTCCCGCAACAGCAAAGATGACGATGTTCATAACTGCATAAGATCTCAGCAATGCAGTGAAAAAAGCATGACAGAAATCTCTGAAATACATGTACAATGCAATATTTGATGGGGTTTACTCACAACAAGGAGAGAAGCTACAAGCCCGGTGTTTGAATATTTATTCACCATCTGACATTGTTAATTTAAGAACTTGCGACACTTTTAATAACTTGTGGAGGACGAGAGTTTGGCCTTTCTGTAACCTGCCAGACTTGATGACTGATAATAGCGTAACAATGAGTTCACGTCCGGAGTCGGAGTCAAATGTGATGAAGATAGATAAAAACTGTAGTATTTACCGTAGTTTCTACAAGTCCAACTTATCAGTTGGGTGAAGTTAGATAAGTTATATCTTTTGTTACACAAAGCAGTTAAAATGTGTTTTGTTCCTGCTCTGAGTGAAACACAAACTGTACATTTGCATGTGATGAGTGGGTTTGTACCTGGATTTATGTTTATATGACGATATTTTACATTTGTACAATAGCAGTTGTATGATTTGATGAATTTCTAAAAACTTTAATGCATCTGTGTTTCCTGAAGAGCAGAATTCCTTTCCTACACAAGTAAAAGTCATGTAATGAAGCAAAGAAAGCCAGTGAGACCTCCTCACCTTGAACTCTGTCTCAATGTTTGCCAATCTTGCCAGTTCGTTGCTGAGCTCGAGGGCAGTGAGGACAGGGTCTTCACTGCTGAGTGACAGGTAGGCTGCGCTGGCCAGGCCCTTATACGCATTCATCCTGGACCGAGAGTGACTGAACGAGTCCTTCTTTTGTTTCTCCACACACTCTAAACATTTACAGAAGTAGTCATGTGGCCTTTCTATGCGGGCCCCCTTCGTCAAAAGAATGTGGACAATCTCATACTCCTGGCAGTGAGCAGCCAGGATGATGGGCGTGACGTCATGCGAAAAACGTGTTCCATCTTCATCGTATGCATAAAAGTCATCGTCACGCATCTCCTGCTCCAGAGGGCTCAGAGCAAGTCGGAGACCCCCACCGAAAGCAGGGTGGCCGAGAATGGCTTCAACGATTCGAACGTACCCTTTAGAGATAGCCAAAAGCAGGCCATCCCCGATCCTGGCCAAGCCGTCCTTCTTCAGTAGCAGCTCAGTCACTTCCAGGTGCTCATTACCCACCGCCAGCTGCAAAGCATTCTGGCCCATGTAGTCCACGCAATTGAAGTTCAGGGTTTTGGACTCTTCCAGCATTTTGCGGACCACAGGAATGTTTCCGTATTCAGCAGCATCCATAAAACGCTCTTCCTCTGCAGTGAGCGCCGAGCCACGCTCATTGAACATATAGGCTGGGCCCCGCACTGCCTGGCGACGCCCCTTCTCCCTCAGCGTGGTGTGCCGGCGATGCATGGCCTCCATCCTGCAGACAGTAAAGGGGAAAGGAAACAGTGAAATGAGGCAACACAACAACAATTACCATGATGGAGACGGAGGGAGACAAAGAAGGCAGAGTCAGAGGAAGGAGTGATTAAGTAATGGAAGGAAAGAAAAGTGGAGAGCAAGAGGGCAAATGTTGGAGGAAAGAGGAAAAGACAGTATCTTTCGTTATATCTAGATATCTAGATCTAGATGCAGCCCTGACAGCCTCCTTGTGTGGAAGTTCTCTCTGGAAAAGGAATGGTCAAACACAATCAATGGTGCTTAACATAGACTTCTACCCTGACCTCAGCAAGCACCATCAAGGCATCTGTCATATATTTGGCCCTGGCTGGATCAATGAACCGCTACCAGTGTCGAAGCTCATTGCAGGGCCATCTCAGGTCAACAGCTCTGATTGGCAAGAAAGAGATGAAGCTGTCAGCTTAATTGACTCTGGCATGACGAATTCACGCTCTGCATCAGCAGTCCACCGAAGAAACTCCACTATCAGTGCTGAATCTGTCTTTATCTACCATCGCATGCACAGAAACAAAAATGAACATGTACCTCCTGTTCTATACAATGCCATAGTTTTTCTAAACGGAGCGGTGTCCCAGGTGACATGTTGTAGGAGCTTGCACAGAACCCCTCGTAATCACCCATGTTACTGCAAAATGGTTTTCATCAGAACTGTTGTGGTTAAACTATTGTATTTTCAGAACACAAAGATCTGCCACAATGGGTGTGTCTTTTGTATTGTCAGCACTGACCCACACAATGAAAAAAAAAAAAAAGCCTTGACGCTCCCCAGACACGGAAAAAAGAGCAAGAGCCAAGCTAGAGATACAAGCCTGAAGTGCTTTGAAAAAGCAGGAATTGGAAATTAGGAGTGGCCTTGGTGAAAAGTTATTGACCAGTACAGATTGATTTTCCACTATGAAATTACCAATTCAGACTTGAGATTTAATTTAGAAAACGCTGATGGTGGGTCATCCAGTGTAGAATCGGAACAGTTCTTATTGAGTGGGTTAAAAGGAAACCCACCTATTTGCAAGGCTGAATATCTTTGAAAACCACACTTGGTTAGTGCTGTCCACATAAAAGATTTCCAATATACTTCTGCTATTTTGTGTGTTATCCTCATTGGTGCAGTGACCTTACAAATGACAAGGGGTCCAGTTTCACAATAAGACCTGCCGCCACATTTAAAAACACAGAAAGCACACAAGTTCATTTGTAATTTGAGATATTTGTGTGTCTGTGTGTGTGTGTGTGTGTGTGTGTGTGTGTACAGAAGGCAGGACATAGAAGGAAAAGGTGAAAATGGAAATCTGTTCAAGGTAGAAGTACTCCCTGGGGGTGTCAAAGGATGTGGAACTGAGAAGATGAAGAGAGCTCACCAAGACAAATGTGTGTGTGTGTGTGTGTGTGTGTGTGTGTGTGTGTGTGAGAGAGAGAGAGAGAGAGAGAGAGAGAGAGAGAGAGAGCATATATTTGTCAGTGTACGATTAAAGGGTATAAAAGGTCTGTAGCTCTTGATTTTCGATTTACACAATCAGCTGTGTGTGCCTAAGGCTGCCAATCAATGTGAGAAGGCACAATCTCACTTTCTCTCACTCTCGCTCTCTCTTTCTCTCGCTCTCAATTTCTCTCACACACAAACTATGCATACAAAATGCGCACACATCCCACAGTCTGTAAAATGTAATGCAAACCGATGCAATAACCCTACAGCAAGTGCTACCTCTGTGAAGCTTATCATATTTTTTGTTGACTCCATCAGAAAAGTATTTGTTCCTTCAGGCCATAGTTTGTGCTGTTGATGTATTAGGATGCATTGTGCTGTAAGTTGCATATAATATCTTCTAACATTTCTCAATCCTCACAAAAATACGCGGACAAACACTGTCACAGACATGCTTGTCAGCATTGGTAAGATTCCTCATAAATGAAGGGACAGACTGGCTGCCAGCCCATTTAGATAACCTCATAGTCACATAATGAATTGCTATTTTCCATCCCTTTAGATCTCCACCACCATCCATCTTTGAGGGTTGGTGAGTCGGATCTGAAATAGAATTTACCTGCATCATTTCAATTCAAAATTACAGCCACACAAACAGGAGGAGGTAGACACAATGGAGACAGATGGGCAAAAATTGTCTGTGAGAAAAATGTGTTAGTAAAGAAGAAATTGTGTAAATGCATGTCGATTCCTTACCTCTGTTTATAGTGGTGTTCCTAATGCAAGACTAAAAGATTCGCTGCATTACACTTTTGCAAACAAGCCCAAAACAGATGCACTAAATGATGTTATGCCACAAAAACAAGAACTCCCACTGCCTCCTAAAACTAACAGCAGATACATCAGACTCTATTACATCTCACAAGCAATATCCTTTTGTCAACCTGTTCAAAATAAGCCCAATATTCACCCAATTTTAATCCCTGCGTTGGTTGACAAATACTGGGGGGAAAAAAGCCTCTTTCACATGCTGTATGTTTGAATTTTCTTGCTAACCATTTGTTAGTGCTACTTTATTTTAAAAGGTGTGCAAAAGGCTGACGTGACACAGAGCCATGACCATGACACGATGCCTGTGAGGAACATATAGAAGTCTTTATGAATTATTTATGTCAGTTGTCATTAAGTGTCATTTGGTCAACATGTAAACCAACAAATAAACCTAAAGAATTTCTTTAAGTTAGATCATTTGAGCTGCTATATTATGTTTATATCAGGTTATGCTATCTGTAGTAATGTTGAGTTGTCACAACAAAGATATCTAAAACATCAACTTTGCCTTAAAAACAGACTGAATGACACCTAATGGCAACATTCATACATGTTCATAGACTCCTTCATGTTCATGGCAGGTGTCATGTCAGCTTTATGCACATCCCTTCAACCCTATTCAGGACTTTTAGGGTTTTTTGGTCATTTGGTTTAGGTCACAGGTATTGTTTTTTTTATTTATGAAGATTTTTTTTTATTTTTTTAAATATAAAAAGAGGGACATTTGCCATGCATATGGAACCAAAAATACGTCAACTTGTCAGAAAATGTATTTAACATAGTATAAAAGTCTATAATGAATATCAACAAATATTTTGCACATATTCTTTCTTGGGGTCCAATGGACCCTGAAAGACCTTCTACGTATGGTAACATGAAAGTCCCCAATAGGGTTAAATGCTATCCATTTCTTTACCTCCACTCTATGATTCCACACTAAGTAGCATATTGCAAATTTATGCGAAGGGGATAGAGAGCAGATTGAACTTTAAATAATGGAGAATCAATGGGTTGTAAAAATGGGTCTTAATTCATGGTGGGATCACCAGTGGTGATAATCTTTTCACACTTTATTTGATTCTGTGTTAATGGACATGATTATATGCACTGTTTCCTAATCCTGAAGCCACAGACTGCAGTGCTTCAGCCATCACTGGGTCGACTTAGTTCTTTTTTTCATGCTGTATCCAAGTCAGAGCCTCCTGCAGATCTTTTAGAGTGCATGTCCAATCAAGCAGCTTCCTCTCCTACTAACAACAAAACTGTCAGAAAAAGGGGGAAAAAATGACAGTCTTCCACCATTTCTGCTGGTGATTCCAACACACGATAGCAGCTTGTTTTAAAATCCTTCCCATTCTAACCAAGGTTCTCAAACCACAGTTCTCTGACATCTCAGACACCTAATTGGCTCCAGTTTACTTAACTGAATTATGAGTCCAGTTTGAGTCACAGTGCTGTCACAGTCCAGATTTTGCAAACTTCACAGCTGATAGTTAAGTGTCATTTCTGTCAGCATACAATAGCTTCTTTCCATGAAATGAATATGGACAAATAGAAGGTGGTCATACAGCTTTGGCTGCTAGAATGATTACTGTAAGAACACTGGATCATGTGATGGGGATGCACAATAAAACTTTATACTGAAAATACCATAAAACAGCTTCCTCTGTCAGATTTTTGGCCATAAACTAAACTGTATAATCAATTTTCATTGTTTAGAAAGTCCTCTTCTTCACAGCTGAACTCTGTGTGGATGGTACGCTAAGTAATTTGTAATCAGTGCAAATAATCAATTTGGCAAGGTCATTTGGTGGTAAACTAGAGAAAATGAAAAGAAGAAGATGAGTCAGGTTTGAACCCAAACCTTGAGGATAATGAGTGAAAAATATGCTTCAACTCAGCAGGAATATTTACAAAACTGACTAAAGAGTTTGCACTTTATCAGTGCACAGACATGAACAGAATATTTGAGGAGTGTTACACTTTCAGCTCTCTCTTTGCCTTTATCAAAGACACACACACGGACACACACACACTCTTTCATGCAGCAAATTGCCAATTTTTAAGATCAAAGGTGAGTTGCTCACCATAATTTAGCAGTAATGAGAAACAGGCATGTTCACCCTTTCTTACAGGCTCTTTAACGCAATGCACGTTCACACACACACACACACACACACACACACACACACACACACACATATATACACACACATGGGTGTCCAAAATTTAGCCTGGCCAGGCATCAGTGGGAGCATACATGCTTCTTTTCCATGTAAGGCCTTTTTAAACTCAACAGTGGTGTATCAAAGAGGCAGACCATCCAAGATCAAAGACACAACCCTGAGCCCTGCCTTTCCCAGTGTCTGATAGCCAGAGCTAAGCTGGCAGCACTACATGAACAGCCATTATGTGTCATCATGTATGTCCAACTCTGTCTCTGTGGATGTTTCCTACATGGATGCAGCAGACTGCGCCCAAATAAATGGCCTTGTGAGCCTCTTTCCTCACAGTAAAGCAATTAAATACATTAGACAGTTGAGAAATGAATGGAACTACTCCATAATTTCAGAACACTCACACAAAACACACACATGCACACACACATAGACAGACTGTATCCGTGAGGGCTTTATGTGTAATAAGTGTGACATTGCTGGGATTGTACTGTGCAAGCCAATTTCTGTAGTGTGCTCCAGCTGAGCGTCACATAGTTTTAGCCCAGTGTTTTCTCCTTTACTCTGACACACACACACACCAAGAACACACACACACACACACACACACAGTCCCTGTTGTCTGCTGCTTATGCATTTATGTATTGGAACAATTCAAGATGCTTTTTCAATACAACGCAACACAACAAGGGCTACAGTGGAAAAACACAGTAATTCATTAAACTCACACACCCTTCAATTCCTCCAGCATGCATTCGATATACACACACATTCACAAGGGATACATCACGCTGCTGTCCACACACTCAGTCTGATAGAATGAGGGGGGAGGGACAAACAGAGAAGGCATCATTCCCTTATTGGAGAACTAATGATTAGGGTACCACTGCAGCACAAGTTAGGTTAAACAATGCAAAGCAACTTCTTTGTTAACAATCAATGCTTCTGTCTGCTAATCTCCTGCCCATGCACCTTGATGTCCTCCAAAGAATCAATGACACAGAGCAACTGGTTCAGTAAAAATCCTGGCTGCCACACTCCCCAAAACTGACCTCTACTTGTTGACATTCCAGGTGGATTAGGAGGTGCTCTTAGTTACATTCAACCAATAAGTACCCAGCATCCTCTTTGCATATCTGCAAAGTTTCTATACAAGCACATGGACTGTGAACAAGGCCGCAAAACTGGTCACTGGAGAGTCGAAATTAAAATTTGCAGGCTAAGAATCAACGAGGGGGACTCACGTTTGGCGGGATTCGGAGTTGAACTCGGTGTTTAATTGCTCAGCAGAGTAGTGGTTCCCGTAGTCCGAGAGCTCCGGAGTCCGCTGGAGTCTCTGTCCGCGGTGCTGAAAGCGCTCAGCGTCCGCCGCGCCTCGTCCTCTCCACTTGGAAAGCGGCTCATCGTAGTGGTCGTGCGCCTCATCTATCCGCACAGCCGGCCCGGAACGAAACGGAGAGCCGGCGTCCCCGGTGCGCCGGCGGAACTTTGGCGGCGTGAAGTGCGTGGAGTCCCCGAGTTCCCGGTTCTCTGGAGACGGGTGAAGACACTCCGGAGAGGCGAGGTAAGGCGGGTCCGTGTCCCCCAGCAGCGGAGAAGCAGAGGAGAAGAGGTCCAGGGGCCGCGTAGAGGAAGGAGATCCTCGGGGAAGACTGACAGACTGAGGCGGGGAGGGAGACTCGGAGAGACGCGCTCTCTCGCCGCTGTCGCTTTCTTCTCCCTCGTCAGACATTGGGAGAGTTCGCGTGGACCATATACTTGGAAATTATTTTAGCTATGTGACAGACATTTAGCGACGTTTGCCAAAGTTTCCCTTGCACAAGTTTCCTCTGAGCCGCGCAGCATCGATGATTCGAGCCTCCACCTTTACGCGAGAGTGCGCGCACTAATTAGAGAGCACCGAGAGTGCGCGCACAGGAAGCCAGCCCTTTACAAAATGGAAGGAAAGGAACAAGTGGCCACCAAACAGCAGCTGAACTTACATATTGCACTGTCCAACAAAAACTATTACAATTTAGGCTTACAGAAATACAAAAGAGCTGCAGTTTAGAGTGTGACACCGTGGGATGTTGGAGAAGACCTTTGTAATGTCAGTGAACCAACAGTAAAAGTCATTTCAGGAGAATATTTTAAGAAGTAGAAGATCCAAATGCTTAATTTATTTTCTGCAAAATCAAGAAACACATTTGATCATTTTCATGTGAGATTTTCACATCTTTCCCACATCATGATAAAAAACCAGTGAAGCAACTCAACTGTTCTTGCTGGTGGCCAATCATGTCCATGTTTTTACCTCACACAAGAACAAACACAGAAAAATGAGTCACCCTGAGTAACCTGTGGCAACTAACAAATAAAAGCTGAAACAATAAAACTATTCCCTCTCATTTGGTCAGTTTAAAAACGGGTTGGTTGGTTGAGTAAAGGAGTTAATTAACATTCCCACCTGTTGGTGATCCATTACTGACATAATCCTGTTATTGCTTCAGAGAACAAACTGAATATTTATGTAGGCAAATCTCAGCAGTGCAGTCCTCGCTTTGTCTTTGGTAGGTTTTGACAAACCCAAACACTATTTAAGGTTCCTGTCATTAGATATGAAGCGTAAGGATACCCAGTGCTTGTATCTCACTCTGTTAGTGTGTCTGCATGTGTGTGTTTGGCTTACTAATTAGACACAGAGACCCATTAGTCACGATGGAGACTTCCTACACCCCCGCACAGACGATAACCAGCCCTAACCTGCTCTTTGATCCATTATCCTATTTATGCAACGAACACATCCATACACAACGACCTGTTTTTACTGTTGTCTATACATGGACACAGCTCCGAAAAGCCCTGAAAAACAAAGCTACAGAGTTGGTTCAAAAAGACATTAAGACATTTCTTAATGGACTGAACCGCCATGCAAACATCCATTTATAAATATACCACACTCTCCACATTGGTTAAATTGCTGCTCTGTTAGTTACAAAAGCACAGGAAGGCAAACTTTGCAGCTTTTATGTGTTCATCCCTACAAACTTTTGTACACTTCATGGTTTCAATGGCTCATCTCAGTAGCTTAAAATTGCTGAATTAAAAGAAAAAGTCGTGCTCAGGAAACATTTTAAGAAATAAAAAAATATGCAAATTTTGTTTCTGCAAAATTAGGAAATGAGGGGGAATCAAATGATTTTCATGTGAGATTTTCACATCTTTCACACATTAGGTTGATAGAATTATAATGAAAAAACAGTGAAGCAGCCATGCAGGATTAATTACATGAAAATAAATGCTTTAATGATACAGAAGAACTGGCCCAAACCTTTTTATTAAGGCTGTTGGCCTCCCTCTTGGAAACCAGTGGGCTTTTATACCAAGTGGCCTGTATGCTCTACGCATGTTCACCGTGAATGGTAGAACATCTAGTGGGTAATGCATTATCACTGCTAAAAGCCCATGTTTAATCTATATAGTTTGATTTGACAGGTAATTTAGAGATAGATGAGTATTGGGTGGAGTTGATGAAGTGGTGCTGTGCTGCTGTCTATCCATTCGTGTGTGTGTGCGTTTATAGGGTCTGACGTTATACCTTTTCTGTCATATGTCTTTGCTTGGAAAAAGGTTTTTGAGTATTTACGTGTGCATACAATTACATTAAGCTACTCTTAAAAGAGGGTTTATATACAGCTATTGTTTTGTTGTTGTCAGAGGCAAAATATTCATCTTCCTGCTTTGTTTACACAAACCACTGCAGAAAAATGTTAAATACAGTAGTCCAGACTCAGCTATTCAAAAAGGTTCTAAATAATTTAGCATCTCTTTACGGGTTTGGAATTTTCTGGCCTCAATTCAATCACTGTGTCACAGCAGGTGTATTCTATTGTCTGTCACAGGCAGAGCTCCTGTTGTGAAATCACTGATTGCGGGTGTTAAAAAAAAAAAAAAAGCTACATGCGTGTGCAGGAAAATTTCTCTGTTGTACGTGATGGGGTGTGAAATAATTTTTTCAGAGCAAAGACAGCAAGTCTGAACACGGAGGGCTCTGTAACTTGTCAAACATCACCATAAATGTTAAATGTCCACTCCTTTTTTTTTGAGTGAAAGTGTTCTGGTCCTCAAGAAAAACAAACAATGACAAGAGCCTCTCAACAGACGGTGATGGAGAGGTTTGATTGAATTACTTCCTGCAGTAGAACAAAGGTCAAATAGGATGACATTAAACACCACTCCAATTTCTACAAACACACTTCTCACATCTATCAAAATATGCAACTCCCACAAAATCTGTCAAAAGTTCAACAGTATAATACCTTGGGGAAGAATGCACATATAGACATGTTTGGAAATGACTAAGCTGAAAAATGGCCTGATCCTACACCTGAGGGGTTTACTATGAAGTACATTTAAAGTAGCCTGGCTTTCGTTGCATTAGCTACCTCTACAAAACCTAAAACCCCAATCAGGGATAATTGGCACCAAGACGGTGGTTATCAGCTTTCTTTGTTAACTGGGTTTTCTTCTGTCGGTTCTGACTCTTCTCCTGCACAAAATGGCGAGCCAGCTACTTCAGTCAAGAGGAACACTTTGCTATAATGTGACAGCTGCACGTTAGAGCTCTTCCACTCTAAATTTGATACGTTTAAACACTATGCTCAAGAAGTGCATTCAGTTGGGACACTGTCCCATTATGAAGGATACGTAGAAATCACTTTAGTTTTTGGCCAAATCAAACTAAAATTAATGTTGAATTTTAGATTGAATATTCTGTATAACAAATACCAATAGAATAACTGTAACTGTGTTCTATTCGATGCAATACAAGCAGAGAAAGAAAGATGGACCAGGCAGCAAAACAGGAGGACCACGGATTAAAACATGTTTATGCATTTTATGCATCAGCAACTTAATGCACGTAGGTTTCCATGGCAACATAATGCATACAGTTTTCCTGCTGTTACCGCACGGCTTCATGCAGTCAGATTATTAACAAACAGCTCAACAGGTTTGCAGATATTGTGTATTTTCTCAGCTGAGAATCTGTTTTGCTGATAAAGAATGCTGACAGGAAATGGTATGCTGGGAGCGTGGTGCTTCTAGCAGCCAATTTCAATCCTAAACACTGAGCATAGCCGCCTCTGGAGCAGGTTAGCTGTGCAGCATCAGTTACCATGGTGATCTAGCCAGGTTAAAAGACAGCCACCTTTGTTACCTTGAAAACTCTGGCTTTACACTCATTAAAATCGCTTAGTAGTGCACCCCTCTAATCAGGTATTGCACGCACGTCCTGCACAAATACACCTCAGCTATGATGTGTTGTTACAACAGCTTTTCCTGTGTACAAACTCACTTGTTTCCACCTGTGTCATCACCAGCTAAATGCCTGCAGTATCAGGTAGAAAATCAAGCAGATGAACCTCTCCAGCAGGTAAGTCGATCCAGTCTGTTGGACAAGCGATCAGGGAGTGTCCACCCCCTTGTGACAGCAGATAGCAGATGTAGCGGTTTGGTTTTGCCGGCAATTTCTTACTCCACAAAGAGTCAAAGAGTTAAGGTTTGTCAGTCTTGGCTCCACATTTGACAGGTGTTTGCCTCCACAAAACTATGGCATCGGGACAGAAAATCCATCAGAAAGAGATAACAGTCCATGAAGCCCTGAGCTGTTTATGTTGTTGGCTGAGGAAAGAAAGCTGCAACCCTGTTTCCCAGCAAGTTCACCAAGCTGTTATTACCTATTTGCCCCTCAGGTTTGCAGAGGGCAGCAGCCCTCTATGTTACTGCACCTGTAGTAACCTCCATGCTCCTAAAGCCTGCTATATTTTAATGAATATCTATTTTCTGCCTGTCCATTTTAATAATTGAATGCCTTTGTTGTGTATCACCTGTTTTAAAACGGAGTTACCCAAGGTACATTTTTGAGATAAGAAAAAACAATGCTGGTTTTAGATCATAGTTATGTAGAAAAAATGAAAATCCCAAAACTAAAGTGCATAAAGTAAGAATACTGTTCCTTGTTCCATGGCATGCTTCATTTCACATTTTACATTTATTATACAGAGAAAATTGAACAGTAACAAAGGAAAATCGCATTTACATACCTTCCCCAAATCGTTCAGCCTTATATTCACCCACAAAATGCACACAGACAAAGCAAACAAGTGACAAACATGAGTGCACATGTAAGTATTTACTAAACAGCACATGCTATAAAAAAGAATTTGACTGTTTCCCTGGACGCCTGAGTTTGTCTCCTCCATCCCACATGCTTATAGGCATGTGAAGCACTTGCTTAAAGTCTGGGTAATGCATTACAAGTCAAGGCATCCCTCTTATCATTTGAGTCAGTACTGAATTCCTTAATATGCATTCAAGACCAGACTCCTTCCCCAAGTATGACAAAGCGCTTTGAGATGCCCAGAACATCACCAGTGGAGCATTAATCATTGCAGAACAGGATATTGTAGGGAAAACAAATGAAATCCGTTGACAAAGTTTTGCATTGGCAGCCAGTCTAAACACTATGCACTGGCAGTCAGTTTGAAGATGCATTCAATGTGAATATTTGTTATTTTGGTTAAAAGCGTAATCTTGCTTCCATTATGTTTGCAGCTAAAAGTATTTGCTTATGCAAATTGGATGCGTGTAAGCATATTTTTTTAAGAAGACAGGGTTGCAGAGTTGAAATGACAGAGAGAAAATTAAACAGAGGAAAAAAAGATGACAAATATCAATCATTCCTTGGGTCCC